AGTGGGAGCTAGTCTCACCTCAATGAGCGGGGCGGCTTTTTGTGTCTTTCCCAAATTTTGCATGTCACACAGTGAAGGAAAATGTATATTTAAAGCCTAGGAACAAAGCCAAACGACAAAGTGCAAGTTAGTTTCAAATGTTTCTGAATGCGAAATGTAGTGAAGGACTGTGTTATATATATGTGTGTGTCTTTTACACAACTTCATGATAATCTCAAACATTTTGCAATTATAACACTTGTACCTTTATGCTTGTACTTGAATGACGTCGCATCTGTAAAACGTTGTTAATGTTTTAAATGCTTCTTTAGTTAACAATATGTCCTTGTGATTCTGACATAGTGCTTAGACTGTCTGTCTATAGACTGCTGGTGGCTGCTGTAATTTAAGTTTTTGATATCAGAAAGGCGAGATAGGAAAGTCATCCAGCTGCTGGAAGAGGAGAATTGTCACTTTTTTATCTGCGGATAAAGACAGACCAGCGATAATTTCACTGCATGAACAACCTGTTACACTGTTCAATGACCGTACCAAAAAGCCTTCGGAAGTGGGGTTAATGTTCAGACTGGATTTCCCCTGGGGTTTACTCGTAATGAAATGTTACAGTTGTACTGTATTATTTTTTAGGCTTTTCCTTAAGAGAAAAAGATTTGTTTTTGAAGTGGAATAAAAGAACTGAGCTACAGAGATTAGTTAATATTAAGCAAGTAATAATTTTGGTTTCTACCCACGCAGTATCACTATATTGCCTATCTGTTGTATCTTTTAATTGTATCTACCAATACAGAGATTTTCTATTTCTTATGTAAAACAAGAAGTATTATTTACAAAATACCATATATAATCAGAGTACATATATAATCAAACCCCCTTTGTATTAATATTATCTCCAGTGTTTAAAGAGATTCTTTAACAAACAAATCTTCCTGCCTTTTTCCTTCACTTCTAGTTCTGTGCCCTGCTTGTCAATATTAACAAAACTAAAAAGTGTAATAGTATTTCTAATAGTGAATTAATATTATGCATATTTAATATTCCTTAAAATAATTTGTTTTATGTTTGAATAATACGTTATTTTAACATAAGGTTTTGATTCACCTCCACCAGCCATAAAAAATTAACTATTACATGAACATATTTAAAGAAAACAGATTTCTCTAAGTTGCCTGAGTGTACTATAGTCGTATTTCAGTACTGAGCAGGATTCAAAGTATTATTAACTCAGTGGTTCAGTGAATCAGTATTCTTTTTACGCACTTCATACAACTTAACAGTTAAGAGGACAGAAAAATAAAGGGTTTGATTAATTCCTTAAGTCAAGTAAAGGCTCAATTTTGGAAGTGTTCAGTTGGGTATAAAAAATAGGACTAGGGCTCGGAACCCAAGTGTATTTATCAACCTACTGTAGATGAGTGACAAAAGTGTCATTATAACGAATAACATTAATAACATTAAATATTAATAATAACATAAAACATTACACAAGTAGTATTATATTTTTTCTTAATAATTTAGTTTTAGAATTTCCAGCTCTTTGTTTTAAGCTGTCAGTAAACGACATGTTACGAATGGAATTATGTTAAAATTAGACGATTATGAATAGTCCTGTCACAGTTCATCCTTAAACGTATTGGGGTTTTTTTTTTGCGGTAGAAGAAAATTACTAAATTTGGAAAAAGTATTAATTGAACTAAATTTGGGAAACTATTACCGATTTTTACAGAATTTGCTTCAGTTATTAAGAGTATGCGGATATCTGTATATCGGGCTTTTATCGTGTATAATTATTATGAAAATACAGGAGTGTTTGAATGTAGGGTATGAAAAAAAAAATTAACTGACGAGGGAAATGAGGAGGAAGGCGGTCTGTATGTGTCTTACAGCTGTATTCCACTTGATCGTGCAATGACAGCGTTCCCCCTGAACAGACTGACAGTATAAATTCATTTCTGCATAAACAAGGTGAAGTACTGTAACTGTTCGTGTAAGAAGAGACAGTTACTGTACTTCCGTACCTCTGCGACAAATGGCATATGTAGGACTATTAATGTTATCCATGTTCTTTAAAGAGCTACATAGCACAGACGGAGCAACTTGTAAGTTTCAAGGACCAGTCGATATTCCCAGTTTCTACGAGAAGGGCGATGTTGTCCTGGGAGGGCTATTTCCTTTGCACTACAGACCAGCGCCTTACCTTCCTTCATTTCAGACCGAGCCCCAATCAGTCAGCTACGTATAGTAAGTCATGTCTACATTCATTCACTTGACGCATTCACACGCTGTCATTTTTCACACGCTGTCAACACGCTGTCAATACAGTGCTTCAACCCAATCCTCAACTGCAGTATAGCGTCATTGTCCTAATTACTGTTTTATTTAGTTTCAGTCCTCGGGCACTTCGATGGATGCAAACCATGATTTTCGCCGTTGAAGAAATTAACAAACGCCAAGACCTTCTGCCTGACATAAAGCTGGGGTATCACATCATGGACAGCTGTAACGACATACAGCCTTCTTTGAGAAGTTCCCTAGTCCTTGTGAACGGCCAGCCGGCCGATGCGGGTAACCACACCTGTGCCGGGGTCGGGAGAGCGGTCTCGCCAGTGATCGTTGGAGATGCGGCTTCTGGGGTGTCGATGGCTGTGTTGAGAACTCTGGGGTCCTTCCACATCCCACTGGTAAGGTACTGACGCGTCAAATACGGCGTTTTTCTTATTGTTTCTTGTAATAATCTTTATACATTTTTTAAAATTCAATAATTATTTGCATTTATTTCAGAAGCGACTCAGACATGCGTTCCTGCTGGATCACGGCTGAACCATGTTATTACTACTATTTGTCTTATTTTTATTATGATTCTCCGAATCTCTCTTTTCTTTTCAAGGTGAGCTACTTCGCGTCTTGCAGTTGTCTAAGTAACAAGCGCGAGTTTCCAGCTTTTATGAGAACCATGCCCAGCGACGCCTACCAGATAAAGGCGATAGCTCAGCTTGTCAGTTATTTCAACTGGACCTGGGTCGGAGTCCTTGGAGTCGATAATGACTATGCGCACTTTGCAATTCAACACTTCCTGGAAGAATCCAGCAGGCTAGATGTGTGTGCTGCGTATGTTCATTTCTACCCGCTTTCTCCAAATAAAAAAGATGTAATCAAAGTGATAAACATTATTAAAAGTTCCTCTGCAAAGGTTGTTCTCAATTTTTCAGGGGAATCTGTTTTACAGTCGATATTAAGTGAGTGCAGACGTCAGAATGTCACCGATATACAGTGGATTGCAAGTGAAGCTTGGGCGACTGCAAAATCTCTGTGGAAAGAATTCCATGACCTTTTAAAGGGAACTGTTGGGTTTGCGATTCGCAGAGCTGAAATTAAAGATCTTGGTGATTTTCTGGGCAGAATTAATCCATCTCACGCACGCAAATTCGCCTTCATTGCGGAATTCTGGGAAGAAACGTTTGAATGTAAATTGAACCATTCCTTGAACACCCATACGCACGGCGATGCGTTTCCGAGGAAGCCCTGTACGGGGCGGGAGAGCCTGGAGAGGGTGTACTCTGAGTACTCAGATGTGTCTCAGCTCAGGGTTTCCTACAATGTGTACAAAGCCGTGTATCTGATAGCGCACGCCCTGCACACGCTGAGCAGGTGCGAGAATGGAAGCGGTCCTTTCCCAAATCAGAGATGTGTGGACGTGAGACAAGTACTTCCGTGGCAGGTACAGTAGGCTTCAAAGAAAAGT